CAGATCTCGTAGGAAAAAACTTGTGGATTGAATAAGTCAAAAAGTCTTGCGATGTTTCTTACCTTTACGCAGGATTTTTTCCATGCTGACCCTACATAAACTATGCAGGGTTCTGTCAGGGCTGGCAATATAAAAATCCTGCGTAAAGGTAAGAAACATCGCCAGATATTTTAATACCGGTAACCCGTGGGATCCTGCGCAAACTCCTGCGGGATCCTGCATGAATTTTGATTATTTTTTTCAGTGGGTATTCAAAATTAATTTACCTTTATTAATATTATAGCCTCTAATATCTTGTATTAATCTTTTAAGCAGATCTTCACCATCATCAAATACGTTTAAATTAACACTGCAAATGTAATTTAGCGCCCATTTCCTATACAAACCAATATCATCAAAAAAACATATAAATTGAACGTATTTGTGAATATCTATTTACAACAATCGGTGCGTGTAATATTGCTGTCCTGCATGTTTCAGATATAACTAAAAAAATTGATTTGTCTCTATAGTACTTAATAAGTTCGTTTAAATCATTAGTTATCATGAATGACTTTATTCTGTCAATAATCCCTTGTTTATTTGTATTGTTTATTAAATTATTTATCTTCATCAATTCCAAGCAGATTTTACAAATCAAGGTTGGTTGGATCATCCACAACAGTCTATTTTTTACTCAACCTGCTCTTAAAATTAATCCTTGTACATTTACTGCATCCACCGGAAAATCTGAATTAAAGTTAGAAGTTAATAATAAAGAAGATTATTTTACGTTAATACTAACGGATAAATGGTCAACACATGTTAGTAATAAAAGAATTACAGTTGTTAAATCTAAATTTGTACATTTACATTAGTCATTCTGTATATCGTAACCGTGACATTTATTGCAAAATAAAAATTTTGGTGTAGGTCAGTATTGTTTAACTTTTAAATCGATATGATATTTAATTTTACCTAATATATGACATTTTTCATATTCACCACTGTTAGTACATGAATAAGTCCTTAGTTTGTATTTCGCTATTAATATTTTATGGTCTAACGATAGTCAATACTGTAAGAAAGAAACGTACAAAAGAGAATACGGAAAAGTTAGTCATCATTGTTTAACATGAACTTTGCTTTGTACAACTGTCACTGCCATGTATCCATTTCTAGATCTAATATCAAGCTTGATAGTGTTTCAGCAGTGGCTGTTGGACATTTGAAAAAAACATGCAGTATTTCATTGGTCATTATCACAGCATTAATTTTGCCAATTGCTGCCGCTGCATTGATTGTCAAAGCATTTCTATTGAAACCGATTCACAATGACATTGTCAATAAATACGAAACTAACCAAACGCTTATGTATCAACCAAATGACATCTGTTCCGTAATTGATCTTCAAGATTTCAATATGTTAACATTTCCGGTTGCATGTGCTCTAATCATTCTTTATGCCATAATATCAAAAAGAAATTCGCTTAAAAACACTTTATGCCATGGATATTTGGCTCCACCAGTGCCACTCGATTATTTTGCCCGTATTAAACGAAAACTTGCAGCCATCATTTTTGCTGTAACAGCAAATGAACTACTCGAAATTGTTTATCAAGTACTAACGGAAAATAAATCTGATGGGGAAGGTTAGCAATAGTTTCTTAATTTTTTGCACAGTTCATCCTAGTGAGAAAGCCGTAAGAAATTGTGCGAGATTCACATTAAAAAGTCACTCAAAATGCTTGGGAAATTTTATAATATTTTGCAAATTTTATCGAATGTTTTTTTTTAGCATTTGAATATTTCAATATTGTACTCAAGGAAGGTCGACGTTGCTCTCCACCGACCTTTTTTTCAGTATAGTTTACAATTATAAATGTGACAGAAAAAGTTGAAAAATGTTTAAGACATCAGTGGCACTTGTATACTAACGAGGAAACCTATCCAAGTGATACCCTCCGATTTCGTTCGTTCATACGTCGATCGACAGAGGGTATCGAGCTAGTAAAAAGCCTAAAAGAATTTTTCCCATGACTCTGGAAGACCCGGTTTTCTGAAAACCAGTTTTTCAGAAACTCTATACAAGTTGTCTGTAAAACAATTTTCGTCATAGGCGGGCATAAATAAAAAAACAAAACAAGCATGAAGGCACACAGTTTGATAGAGCATTAAAGGCCCTACAAAACGTACTGTTGCTTTTTGCTTTTCGTTCTTTCTTTTATTAGAAAAACTTACTTTTCTCTCAATATCTAAAAACAGGTATTTGTCGACTTTTGATGGGTTTATCTCGGTGAGTTATTGAGATATCGAGCTGAGATTTTCTGCGGTAGCGATAAGCGAAAAAGAGTTTCGAAATCCGGTTCTAGAAACCGGAGTAATTTTAAAAATACGTCAAGAACTCGATTGTACAATAAAGTTGCAATGACTCATATGTTTGGTAAAGGAAATAGGCAACATTGACGACACATTCGGATACACAAGAATTTCATAATGATTTTGGCTCGAACGAAGGAAACGGAGTTGCTGAGGAAGCTATCTTGAATGTGAAAGAGTGAGTTATGTAATCACCTCACAACTTATGCAACCGTTTAGTGACATACAGAATAGTGGATCACTGTCTTTCCGGTACTTAACGGTGAGCATTTCCGGGTTGGCACGTCATGTCAATAAATACGAAACTAACCAAACGCTTATGTATCAACCAAATGACATCTGTTCCGTAATTGATCTTCAAGATTTCAATATGTTAACATTTCCGGTTGCATGTGCTCTAATCATTCTTTATGCCATAATATCAAAAAGAAATTCGCTTAAAAACACTTTATGCCATGGATATTTGGCTCCACCAGTGCCACTCGATTATTTTGCCCGTATTAAACGAAAACTTGCAGCCATCATTTTTGCTGTAACAGCAAATGAACTACTCGAAATTGTTTATCAAGTACTAACGGAAAATAAATCTGATGGGGAAGGTTAGCAATAGTTTCTTAATTTTTTGCACAGTTCATCCTAGTGAGAAAGCCGTAAGAAATTGTGCGAGATTCACATTAAAAAGTCACTCAAAATGCTTGGGAAATTTTATAATATTTTGCAAATTTTATCGAATGTTTTTTTTTAGCATTTGAATATTTCAATATTGTACTCAAGGAAGGTCGACGTTGCTCTCCACCGACCTTTTTTTCAGTATAGTTTACAATTATAAATGTGACAGAAAAAGTTGAAAAATGTTTAAGACATCAGTGGCACTTGTATACTAACGAGGAAACCTATCCAAGTGATACCCTCCGATTTCGTTCGTTCATACGTCGATCGACAGAGGGTATCGAGCTAGTAAAAAGCCTAAAAGAATTTTTCCCATGACTCTGGAAGACCCGGTTTTCTGAAAACCAGTTTTTCAGAAACTCTATACAAGTTGTCTGTAAAACAATTTTCGTCATAGGCGGGCATAAATAAAAAAACAAAACAAGCATGAAGGCACACAGTTTGATAGAGCATTAAAGGCCCTACAAAACGTACTGTTGCTTTTTGCTTTTCGTTCTTTCTTTTATTAGAAAAACTTACTTTTCTCTCAATATCTAAAAACAGGTATTTGTCGACTTTTGATGGGTTTATCTCGGTGAGTTATTGAGATATCGAGCTGAGATTTTCTGCGGTAGCGATAAGCGAAAAAGAGTTTCGAAATCCGGTTCTAGAAACCGGAGTAATTTTAAAAATACGTCAAGAACTCGATTGTACAATAAAGTTGCAATGACTCATATGTTTGGTAAAGGAAATAGGCAACATTGACGACACATTCGGATACACAAGAATTTCATAATGATTTTGGCTCGAACGAAGGAAACGGAGTTGCTGAGGAAGCTATCTTGAATGTGAAAGAGTGAGTTATGTAATCACCTCACAACTTATGCAACCGTTTAGTGACATACAGAATAGTGGATCACTGTCTTTCCGGTACTTAACGGTGAGCATTTCCGGGTTGGCACGTGAGCTTTAGAGTTGTTTCTTAGTTAAAAGCTTTTCTATTCAGAATTATCGTTCTCGTGTGGTTTGCTTCACTGAAAGTAGTATCATGCAAACCAAATGTCACGGACTATCCGTCCGCAGAAAATGAAAAGAAATTGTTAGGAATATCAAATTAGTATCACGTGTAAAACCTAGACGTTATAGGTCATTGTGAATGGTCCCCACTCTGCCATAAGTGTGACTAGAACGAACGCGAATTGCCAGAAACAATGGGGGATGCCACTAGCGATGGGCCGTAATACGTAAGCTTCGAAAGAATGGAACGAAAGAATATTCGTTATTTACTATAACAAACTATGTCTCATTTATATACGAATGATCAGTATACGAATACGCGTCAGAAAAGAAAGAGAAAAGAGCTTAAACGTACGTAACAAACGTAATACATAATGAAAGTAACAGTATTTTTCTCTTATATATTTTGAACGAAGAAACGT